CCTGGAGCCGGACGCTCCCCAGGGCTTTACCGTATTAACAGGAGAAGAGGCGCAAGGGAAATTAGACTACATGCTGTAATTTATAAATATTTAAACCCAGTCTGCTAATCCGTGACCTCTACGGTGTCAAAGGTTTTTTTTTTTTTTTGCTTTGTTTATTTTCTATTGCTCTGTGAATTTCATTAAGGCTGTGGACATTTTTTCTCAAAACCCAACCTGACTCTGATTTATCAAATAATTTTCTTCTATCTATGAGTCTAGTCTCAACACAAAGAGTTTTTCAATAATTCTTGCAAACTGTGAAATTAGAGACATTGGTTTCTAATTGGTTTGGCAGCATCTATCACCTGGGATAAGTTTTAATATTTTGATTTTATTGGAGAAAACCCCTGAAATGAAAGACAAATTGAAAATGTGGCCTAATGGGTTCCTAATGAAGATCAACCGTGTGTTTATTTCGCCTCCACATCGCAGCTCCGTCTTTAAGATGATTGAAGGCTTTTTTTAAAGGAACCTTCTTGGCTGAAACACTTTTTTTTTCTCCAACTATTAATAAGGTCGTATCATAATCAGACATGTCGGCTCTCTCATCGTCAGTCTCTGTTCTCATGAGGTTTAAACATGAATTTATTGGAAACGTTGGTTTGACACAAAGTTTTCATCATGGGTGAGAAGACAGATGGAAGGTTGTGGGTTCGAGGCAGAGAATCAACTGTTTGATGTTGCCTCTCTGTCACCAGAAGCAGAGATAAGGAGATTCTGCACATACCTGCTGCCTCTGCATACAAAGCATCCCCAACACTCAGAGCCCATCACTGGGAAACCTGCCGCCTCCTGGGACGAGTCAGAGAGAAGTCTCCTGTTAGAAGCCTGACCGGCCCACAGAGAACCCAGAGTGAGTTTCTCTCTTTATTCTCAATATTTTAGTATTAATTTCATTTAGCAGCATCATATCCTTTGCTTGAATCACTTCATTTCAGATGTTTGCTTCTGTGGTTGGACTTGCTGTTGTCCTAGTCACGTTTCCAGAGCTCAGTGCATTTAGTAAAGTCTTCAACAGAACCTCAGGTAGGAGTTTCAGCTGATTATTTCCAATAAGTTCTGCTCTGACTGCCGCTTTGTTTACAGAAACCGCCTATTTGGGTTCAGCGTTTGTTCACCGAGCTCTTCAGAGAGCGATTGATCTGACGGATGCTGCTTATGCAAACACTAGAGAGAGGTATCATCTCCTAATGTCGGTTTAACAGGAGCCTGAAAACGTCTGACTGGAAAACTTCTCATTCTTTTAGGGTGAAGAAGTCATTTTCTGAAGGAGCTCTGAGACCAAGTGACCTGCTGGCCCAGTTTAAACAGGTGGAAACCAGAACCAGGACTCACATTCGCTCTGCTGAGCTGCTGGAAAACACAGTGGAGCTGATCAGAGAGATGGTCTACACCAGCACCATGCTGCAGCCCAGTCCGTCTGGTATCAAACACATTTCAGATCTCATTACACTGCAAAAACTATCTAGATAGAAGTCAACATTTCTTAAATTAAGTGTATTTAGCCTTAATTTAAGTAGAAAAATAAGATTTACCAATGGAATGATATATTTCCTCTAAAACTAAGATAATTAGATATTATGCACTTGAAATAAGACAATGCATTTGTTTTTTTGTAATTTAAATGTAAATTGTCTTGTTCTAAGTTTCTGCCTTACCTTCTCAATTTAAGAAAAAATACACTAATTTTAAGAAAAAATAATTTATTGAGATTTCAATTTTTTCCAGTGTATTTTTGACCCAGTAATCACTTTCAGAGTATTTAATGTCTGTTTAATGTCCCATGTAGATTTAGGTAATAAAAAATAATAACAAAGGACCTATAAATGTTTATGTGTTCCAAAAAAAGTAAAAATAAATCATTTCACTGGACTGTTTCCAACTTTGAAGACGTTTCTCTTCCATCTACACTGCAAAAACGATCCAGAAATAAGTAAAACAAATCTTAAAGTATATTTACCCTTAATTTGAGCAGGTAAATAAGGTGATCTTTCCAATGGAATGAATATTTTTACTCTTTAAATAAAATAGTTAGATAATATGCACTTAATAAGACAATAACATTGTTTTTTCTTATTTTAAAAAGACGTCTTGTTCCATTGGTGTCTCACTTACCTCCTCAATTCAAGGAAAAATGCTTTTATTTTAAGAAAAAAAATAACTTATTGAGATTTCTATTTTTGCAGTGCAGGAAGATTTTTCAATCCAAAGTGTCAGAAATAGCGTTTAGTTCCAGGTTTTATCCAGCAGCCCAACAAAGCCTGGTTTTAGTTTAAAAAACATGCAAATAGAAGCGGATGAACGCTTTGGAAAAAAATCCAGTGGATTGTTTTTCATTTATTTTGGAATGACTCTAACCTGGATGACTGAGGATCTTCACCAGCAGACGAGTGTTTTATTCCATCTGTCCTCAGAGCTTCTGAGTGAAGGGGACGTGGAGGACCTGCTGCAGGTGACGGGCTGCTCCACGGAGCTGCACTCGCCCACCTGTCAGACGGACTGTCTGTCTGAGCGCTACAGGTCCATCACAGGCGAATGCAACAACAGGTGAGAGCACATGGCTGCATGTGATTCAACTCCTTACTAAATAAAAGTACCAGAGCCGTTCAATAAGAAATACTCCTGACCCACTTCCAGTTGCTTCAGCTAGCTGGAATTTTGCAGGTGGAATTATTTAGATCTCTATAGATTAACAGCTCTGAACTAACTGTGGTTTCTGATTTAGAGGCTGTTACTGAGCAGTGATCTGGTTTTCCTTTGGCCTTGAAAGGCCGCATGATGAAGCATCATCACCATAAATTACTCATTTCATCAAAAGTCTCCTGTTTGTCCTTTCAAATACAAAAAACTGATTTTGTTTTTGAAGGTCACATTTTCTAAAGCTGCAGCTGATCATTTTATTGTATTTTATGGGTTTAACCTTCTGCCTTAAAACAGGTGCAAACACCTTTTTTTACATGCAGAGTAGATCTTTTCTCTACGGTTGATGCGATTCGGTGGATGTAGAAGATTCTCCTTCAATTTTGGTTTATTTCATAAAGTTCCATCAAATTTCTGCCTGTTCTGTGTCGCCTTCAGGGAGCATCCAAAATGGGGCGCTGCAAACATCCCGTATTCCCGCTGGCTGCCTCCAGAATATGAAGATGTGTGGGGGACACCCAGAGGCTGGGAGCCCAAACACACCTACCACAATGTCAGCCTGCCTCCTGTAAGGGCCCCACTGCTGCACACACTCCCCCTCCCTCCACCTCAGACTCCATCAGTTCTCCTCTAACTTATCCTGCAGGTACGGCTGGTGTCACAGGAAGTTCTGTTTACCCACAATGATAAAATCTCAGCGGACTCCTCTTTGTCCCACCTGCTGGTGGACTGGGGTCAGTGGATGGATCACGACATGGTGCTGACCCCTCAGAGCCCCAGTACAGCCACCTTTAAGACGGGTGACGACTGCACCCGCAGCTGCAGCCGGGACTCACCCTGCTTCCCTATTCAGGTGAGCGTCACTCGCCCTGGAGCTTCAAATCTGTTAATCCACCGACAGATTTTAAATTACAGCCGTTTATCGGTGGAGCCGAATGAAGCGATCCTAAGAACATTTCACCTCCTGACAGAAGGAGGTCAGGGAGGGGAAATCTGTTCCTCTTTAGGTACTAAAGTTCTCCATAATGCATTAGACTGCTGCTGTCAAAGCAGATTTTATTTGCTCATCCAACACAAAGGAGAGCATTACTATTTGGTGACAGAAAAAGATGCATGATAATGAAATGTGCACATGCATTCACCCACATTTACATGAATATTTAGTGCAAGTAACTGCAATCAAATGACAGTTAACTCGCTGTTTGATTAAAAGCATTTGAAAAACAAACAGCATCATGAAAAACAAGAAACACTTCAGACAGGTCAGAGAAGAAATGCTAAATTCATCGTCCAAAAACGGTTAGAGTGAAAAATAAGTGAGAAAACCGAATATAAACGGTGCAAAAGAACAACAGTTGTGTTCGGATATTTGAGGAAAAAACGTACAGATTTCTAGCTGTAATGACAGAAAATGGTTTATTATTTAAAACATGAATTAGTTTCTTTCAATTGTGCATTTTATTTTTATTTTCCTGCTTTGTGTTTTTCTCTCACAATCGAATAAAACTTGGGAGTAAAACTAGAAAAAACACTCAGAGGGTGCAGAGCTCCACCAACCAGATGATTTCACCCAGAATTGTGACTTAAAGGTATAGTGGAGGCAGAGGGGGATTTAACTTTAGTTAATAGGTAGTTGCCTAGGGCCCCAAGTTCCTGGGGGCCCCATGGAAGCCAAATCCTTTCACTAAAATGCCATCAGAACGCTGATAATATTCAGTGTGTCTCAGCCCCCCCCTTCAGTGTCCACCATATTGGATCAGTCCATTTGCTGCACATGTTCAGCAGCAAACCATTTGAAAACAAACCATGCAAAGAGCAGTGTTGCCAACTTAGCGCTTTAGTCGCTATATTTAGCCACTTTTCAGACCCCTCTAGCACTTTGATTTCTAAAAAGCTCCTAGCGCCAAATCTAGAGACTTTTTTCTGCAAGAAATTCCACCACTATACCTTTAAATCTATGGCTAAAACTCACAAATGTTCTGCAAAATTACCAAATTTAAATAAACTGTTCGTTGGCAGGAGGGGCGTAAAAACAATGACATGAAATCTATTCATAAGTTTTCAGTTGATCCTGCTAACTAACAAACATGGTTCCCTGAGTCCGACGCTGTCAATACTCACTGCTGCCCCCCTCTGGTTAAGTAGGGAACTGCTAGTTCTGCCAAATATCACTATCTAACAATGTTAGAGAATCTTAAAAAAAAATCCCTGAATCCAGATTATGACCTGGATCATCACCAAAATGTAAAATTTTCCCATTTTCCCAAATGTAAAAAGTTAATCAGTTTCAGCTGCTTTAGTGTTAATGAAATGAACAACAGGTGAACTAGAGGAGCAACAACCAGACGACCATCAAAACAGGAATGGTTTTACAGGTGGAGGCCGCTGACATTTTTCCCCTCCTCATCTTTTCTGACTCTATTTCACCAGTTTAGCATTTGGCTAGGGTCACTGTCACTACTGTTAGCATGAGGCGCTACCTGGACCCTACAGAGGTTGCACAGGCAGTCCAACTCCTCCAGGATGGCGCATCAATACCTGCCATTGCCAGAAGGCTTGCTGTGTCTCCCAGCACAATCTGAAGAGCATGGAGGAGATTCCAGGAGACAGGCAGTTACTCCAGGAGAGCTGGACAGGGCCGTAGAAGGTCTACAACCCATCAGCAGGACCGCTATCTGCTCCTTTGTGCAAGGAGGAGCAGGAGGAGCACTGCCAGAGCCCTACTAAATGACCTCCAGCAGGCCACTGGTGTGAATGTCTCTGACCAAACAATCAGAAACAGACTCCACGAGGGCGGCCTGAGGGCCCCACATCCTCTAGTGGCCCCTGTGCTCACTGCCCGGCACCGTGGAGCTCCATCTGCATTTACCACAGAACACCGGAATTGGCAAGTCGGCCACTGGCGCCCTGTGCTTGTCACAGATGAGAGCAGGTTCACCCTGAGCACATGTGACAGACGTGAAAGGGTCTGGAGAAGCCGTGGAGAACATTCTGCCTGTAACATCGTTCAGCATGACCGGTTTGGTGGGGGGTCAGTGATGGTCTGGGGAGGCGATACCCCAGGACGCCATCCGTCGTCTCATTAGGAGCGTGCCCTGACGTTGTCAGGCATGGATTCACGCACGTGGGGGCCATGCAAATGACTGAATATTATTTTGAGTTGCTGCAATGAAATTTGATCAAAATGGACTATAGCCTGCAGCATCATTTTTTCACTGTAATTATTGGGGTGTCTTTGAATTCAGCACATCACCCAGTCCATATCAGGATAAATAAACAGCAGGATTCTTTTTTCCCCGATTGAGATCTGATGTGTTTTGAAAGTGTTCCTTTAATTTTTTTGAGCAGCTTATATATAAAGTAAGATTGCTGAATTTCCCTGGATAAGTGTTTGTCCAGCAGCTCCAGTCTAATCCTTTCCCCCAGATCCCCTCTTCTGATCCTCGCAGCGGCATCCAGAGCTGTATGCCTTTCTTCCGCTCCGCTCCCAGCTGTAACAGCAGAGTCCTGCCTCGTTCCCACCGAGAGCAGCTCAACGCCATCACCTCCTTTGTAGATGCCAGCATGGTGTACGGTAGCTCCCCCAGTTTGGCTTCAGCTCTCAGGAACCACTCGTCTCCTGTGGGCTCCATGAACCTCAACTCCCAGTTCTGGGATGAGGAGCTGCCCTACATGCCATTCCTGCCCCGCGTGCAGGCTCACCTGGACCCCTGCGGCCCCCGTAACTCCACCACTTTGGGGCCATCTAGTAGATCTCCGCTCCTAGAGAACACCACTTCATGCTTTCACGCAGGTGAGTGAAAAAACTTCTAAATCATCCAACCGTTTGCAGATATTAAGTCCTTTTTTTTATGAATGCTTACATTTGCAGGGGATTCAAGAGTTAATGAGCATCTGGGACTGATTGTGCTGCACACACTTTTTCTGAGGGAGCACAACAGGCTGGTGAAAGAGCTGCACCAGCTCAACCCCCACTGGAGTCCAGAGACCCTCTATCAGGAAGCGAGGAAGATCATAGGAGCCATTCACCAGGTGTTTACAGCAGCTTCAGCTGGACCCAGAGCAGCGTTGGCATTTTAGGCCTTTTTGAAAAAATACTTCTTTTATCAGCCTTGTATGCTGGTGAAGATTCTCAGTCATCCAGGTCATAGTCATTCCAAAAA